CCGGGGGCTTATTTTTGAGGATACATTGTGCACAATTTGTACCACATAATTGCAAAATAACATTTTTAATTATCTTCTTTTAATGATATTGCATTTTAATTATTTGTTTATCAGGGAGAAAAATTTTGGAACTTGGGGGAAACAATGCCATCATTGGTAAGTTTATAGTTAGGGGTTTGCTGACATGGAAAGATCTTTTTGTCAGAAATAATACCAAGAATTTTTGTTTTTCTCAACATTTATTTGATTTGGATTATTGCTTGGCAGACTCTTTTTTTGTTCCTTTTTTTTAATTGAAAAGGGATCATCTTTTGAAAAACTTAGGTTAATAACTATTGTTATATACCAAAATTTTCACTCAACAAATTGAGCACTGTGATTGGTTGATTCTTGGTCCTGTGCCTCTGATCAAATGTAAATGTATCCATACCGGGATACAATTGCACAGTTGTTGCCTGCACGCTAAATACAACAGCACATGATTGCCATATAGTTGTTTAAAGGAAAGTCTAAATATATAACAAAGCTCTCAGGAAACTAGTTAATTTTGTTTTCCCTCAAGTCCTGATGTTTCCCTCGACTTTGTCTCGTAAAACATCAGGACTCTCAGGAAAACAAAACTGTTTCTCTTGGGACAATACATTAAGTGTATGTTACTTGTTGAGTTAGAAACAAAAAAAATATATTTTTAGGATAATCAAGAATCAAGAGTACTCATACTCTGTTTGTTTGCTTTTGAATGCCTAGTTTTGTCTTTTTTCTTCAAGTGATGGATGATGCAGATTTAAACCTTGCCATTCCATCAGTTTTGTTTGCATCAGTTGGCACTGCTGGCCAGAGATGTACCACAACAAGAAGACTGGTTTGTGACAATGATTTACAATCATATCTTTTCACTGAGGTAGATACTGTCAGTAACTATTTCTCAGACAGGTGTGCCAGAGGAGGCCTGAATTAAAAATTCAGGGTTTGTTGAGTCACAAATTGCCATCAAGGCATGGAAGCTGTGCAGATGCAAGTTTTCATGATAAAGGTTTCAAGAACATGTGAAATTTGTTAAAAAAGTGAAACAATTGTATGAAGACTGTCCCTGAATGCCTGAGTACATGGAGATATCATATCTCCTTCTTGAATCCTTTGTTGGGTTTCCAGTGAGGCAGTTCATAAAAATGATTAGTTTAGAGTGGCTGTTTCTAGACAGAGAATGCAAGATGCTGTTTTGTTAATTACTATGATGAAAATAATTATTTAAGTTTATTGTTTGCAGACAGTTCATGAAGATATTCATGATGATGTTGTAGAGCGTTTAAAGAAGGCCTATGCTCAGGTCAGAATTGGTGATCCTTTAGAAGGTAAGTGATTTGATAAAAATATATATATATAAAGCACGGTTTTTTTGCACTGTAGTGAGTCTGAGGAGGACCTTTATATAAACAGCAAAGAGCAAGAATAGAGGAACTCTGATTTTGCTTCCCTTGAGTATCATTCATAAGTTCTACTATCATAATGGAAAAAAAGTAAAACATCTCTTGTTGGTAGTGGTTGCAGATACTTGAGGGTAAGTAATGGCTGAAAGGAGATGGCAAATTTTCTGAAAATGTCATGTTTACTGGTAATCACTCTTTAAGTTATGATCGGAGCGGCATGTTGTCAAAGAAAGTGGTTCAGATAGTGACCAACATTTAAAAATAAACCCTTACAGCTGCAACTTCACAATTTTAGGTTGCAGTTTAATAATTATACAATCTTAGTCCTCTCAAGGCCAGTCCAAGGCTGATTTCCTTGCGGTGGTTATATTTGAGATGAAGAGTGAGACTGAATGCTTTGTGAATGGTTATTAGACTTAGTACTAATCTCTAGTATGCAGTTAGATTTCTAGTATTATCCACTCAGTTCACCAACCAGTTATTAATAAATGGCAATCTTTTAATTTCTTCTTAAAACAGCGGACACTCTGTATGGCCCAGTTCACTCTGAAATGGCAGTGGATATTTACAAGAGGGCTGTAGATGATGCTCAGAAGCAGGTCTGTTGATATTTGCTGAGTAGCCTAGATATATATCTTAGATGTTTTGGTGTGCAGTATCATAGAGTATTTTTATGAGTTGTGCAGTATTTTTATGAGCCTGTAGCTATAGGGCAAGTCAAAATACAAACAGAGTTAATAATTTTGTTTTTCTAAGAGCTTAACTCTCTTTAGGAATCTAACTTCAGATGTGTGGATTACTGCTGCAATTTTATACCGCTGTGCTTCAAATAACTTGCTGGTTCATATTACACCACAAGCAAGTATCAGCAATGTTGTGGGTCATACATGTGGGTGTTATGTGGACGTCTAGAATGGGAAGGATTGTTTATTTTTAACTAATTAATAAAAACAGTTTTGGAAAATGGGATATAAAAAGTAGAGTCATTTTTCTATTTTTCTATTTTGTGCAGGGAGGAAATATTGTGTATGGTGGAAAGGTAGGAATGGTTACTTCTGGCATAATGTTAATGAGCTTACATGTTAGCCAATAGAGGCTGTCTGAGAAACTGGAGAACCATTGCCAATATTAGCCAGAATGATATCATCTAATCAAAACAATATCAGCTGCTTAAGTTGCTTGAAAATCTTGGGTTCATCATACCAATTAATTTTTTAGTAGGGTTTTGTATTTTATAAGTACTAGCAGTAAGTAATTTTTATTAGCCATAAAAGTGAATGAAGATTTTAGATATATGAAAATTCACATATTTGCACTGCGGTGGAAAGATGAAATTAGGAGATCCTCGCAGCTAAGAACACTACTGAAACGAGTAGTTGTTTATTTGGACCCAATTCGTTGACCAGCTCCCAGTTGGCTTGTTAGCTCATTTGGTAGAGCGCTGCACCGGTATCGCAGAGGTCATGGGTTCAAATCCCGTACGGGCCTGAAATTTGTTTTTTTTCAGGTCCTATTTACAACTACTCGTTTCAGTAGTGTTCTTAGCTGCGAGGATCTCCTAGTTTCAGCCATAAAAGTGTTGGTAAATTCAGTTAAAAACTATTTTGTATTTCTTTTTGCTTATGTTTTCTCACACAGGTGTTAGAAAAGCCCGGTTTCTATGTGGAACCCACAATTGTGACTGGTTTGGCCCATGATGCAGAGATTGTGCAAAGGGAATCCTTTGTTCCAGTTCTGTATGTTGTCAAGTGCAAGGTAGAGGATTACTTGAGCAGACGAAACTGTAACTACACATTCATCCGTGGATTTGCAATTTAGTAATTGCAATTTCTCCTCAGTCATAATACTGATGAGTGTCTTTGGAATGGTAATATATGTTTAATTTCAATTTTCAGAGCTTTGAAGAGGCTGTTGGCTATAACAATGAAGTCAAGCAGGGCCTGTCTAGTAGTATTTTCACAAAAGACATTGGAAAGGTGTTCAACTGGATGGGGTAATTATTAACTGAAATTCAGTTATAATTACCATTCTTAAAGTCAGGGTATCTAAGTATCTAGTGCATTTCCAAGAATGCTCATGCAGAAAAAATTTTCTTGGATAACAGACTGATTTACTAAAAATTTGGACTTAAAAGTTCCTGTCAATTTTTGCAAACTAATCATTCCGTTCACTCAGCAATTTTTTTTACAATAAAAAAATAAACAATCTAGCATTCATTTAAAGGAATTGTGGAGTCCTCAAGTTCACTTTGGAATTCCTTAGCACAGTTAAGTTTGGTTAAGCTGGTGATTATAAATAGGTACAGTTTGTTCCTGACTACTGTTATCTGCCCAAACCAAACCTTATTTTGCTTCTAAAATCACCAGGCCCCTAGGATCTGACTGTGGTATTGTCAATGTCAATATTCCTACAAGTGGTGCAGAGATTGGAGGTGCATTTGGTAAGTACAATGGGTGTGGTTGACAGAAAATCAGGTTTTGCTAGAAAGTTGCTGATTAGAAATGTGCTCAGTTGAATTTGGGGTAGATGTAACTTTTCAAATTATTTGGGTTTCATTCATTTATCTTGTATATTGATTGACAGGTGGTGAGAAACACACTGGAGGAGGTCGTGAGTCTGGAAGTGACGCTTGGAAAGCCTACATGAGGAGGTCAACATGGTAAATAAGTTATTTGTCATTTACAAAATTTCCAAGCAATTATAATGATATAAAGAGAGAGGGTTCAATTCACCTTGTCAGAAGTGTCAAACATTGAAAAAATTTGAACCCCACATGAAGAACCGAACCCCAGATTTAGACCTTTGTATTCATGACTTGGTGCTCTATAACTGAGCTACAGTACACTTGATGGTATTAGCTAGGCCATGTACTATGTTAAGATGTGACAAGTGTCCTTCATACTGCTGGGATTAGCAATATCCAAAGCCTTCTGTGTCTAGAATACGAAAGATGGTAAATTTTGAGCGTGGTCATTGAGAAACGAAATATCTTAGGCCATTACAAGTGTGTGATTGACCACTGATGAAAAAAATTGTTTCTCTCTTTTTCAGTACAATAAACTTCAGCAAAGAGCTTCCCCTTGCACAAGGTATCAAGTTTGGTTAAAAACAACAGCAAAATTTAGTGAAATTTCCAAGAAAAACAAGAAGAAAGGATCACCAAAAAAGACCAAAGCAGGTTTACAAAGTTGGCCATGAGCTAGGAAAAATAACTTGTTTTAGTGACTTAAGTGTGCTTAACTCAGTTATGAAGTACTGAAAGTGTAGATTTAAAAAAGCGCTGGCCCCAGTTGTTGGATAAGTGTCAGGTGATACTTTCCACATTATAGTATCATCTGAAACAGCTAGGATTTCATCAAAAAAACTTGAAAAAGCCTATTGTACCAACAGTAGGTGCCATTTGTTGTAATGCATGAGCTAGTAGAATTGCAGGGCATATATATATAATATGCACTTTTTCAAATAATCTCCTTTAACATAATGTTGAACTGTAGGTTTGTACTACTGTGGACCTGTCTAAAGTTAGTTAGAGTGGTTTTAATAAAATCTAAGGTTTCATTGAGTTAAAGAGTACCCAGTAAATGTAACTTGTCAAGTTGTTGATGACAATACAATTCAACACACTTGAACTGTCCGACCTTGATTTTTCTTCATGCTATTAGTACTGTTTATAGTGAACAAAGATAAGTTGATGACATTTCATGCCATAGCTGATGTACACTGAAAGCACTTTCAACCATGTTCAGCCATTGTTCTTTTGCTATTCTTCTGCTATTTTGCAGAGATTTGAATGATGATAACTGACTTTTAACAACTGTATTGCTAAGTGAAGGTTGGGTGCCTGAAACATCCAGGAGCTTTCACTATTGGCAGCCAGCTCCTAGATGGAGACTTCTCCCATGGCTGGAAAATCCTGGCAACCCAGCCATGAGCCCCAACACAGGAAAGGGAATCAGGCACCCATCACACTGAATAAACAGTGGAAAGAGGGAGGGAAGGGGTGGGGAAAACTGCCTGGATGATGAGCTGGCACTCCTCTCAAAGCTGCAAGTTCACACTCAATGAAAGTGCATGCAGGAATGCCTCAAGCAGAGACTACTAGAGAATGCTGATTCTCTTTCTTGTTCACTCCATTAAACTGCATTTAATTGCATTTGATACCTGTTATAATAGCCCTCTTCATCAAGGGTACTGTAGATGTAAGTTATGGTCAGCAAACAAACTGTTTGCTGTGCCTAAAACAAAAAAAGATGGCAGCAGTTGTCCACTCATAAACAGTACTGTTACTTAGCTATGAACCAACCATTGCATACATCTGTACATAGAAAGTACACCTGATCTGTTCTTAACTCTGCCTCAGAATGTTCTAATTAAGTTACATCTGTGTCAGAAAAACAAAAAAAAGCTGTTTACATTGGACAAATTAACCAACAGCAGGTTTAATCTTGAGCTGGAGTGATAGGCTTGTTTAAATCCAAACTTGGAGCACTTCTAAGACTTTGTGAGGCATGTTGTAACTGGCGAGCTACCTCATCAGTTGCCTTGTGACATTCTTTGTCTAACATACTCGCCAGTACATCTAAAAGGCCCAAGTAACTATAACACAAGGCAGCACGGCGCAGTCTGTTTAGTTCCTAAAAAAGTGATGGGGAAGGAAATTGAATACGTACATGTACCAGAATGTAGATATGCTGTAAACTCTTGCCAAATGGATGTGACATCTTGGTTTAGGAATATTTTGCTACTCAATTTACTACTGCAAATGCATGGGGTAAAATAGTTTAACAGATGAAACAAGGTGAATTCCTTTGCAATAGTGTTCATAGTTTAGCAATGGGAATTGTATTGTAGTTTTGACCTTTAACCTCTGGACTTTTACAGTAATCAACCAATTAATGATCTTCTATATTTTATCAAATTCATTCATATTTTAATATTACAGTAAACATTTTTTAGATTGGTGACCTGCAGCAAATTTTTCAGGAAAAATTTTGAAACAAAACCACGGTTTAACCTGATACAACTTTCACAAACTATGTCACTGTTACCTTATAAAATTGGCCTTGCTTTTCAGGAAGCCTTTTTGCATACCGCAACAGCTTCTGGACATCAGACTGAAAGTATAAACAAAAAACTAACTGTCAAAGCTAATTTTCAAATGCTGGGAAAATCAAACACAATTGATGATTTCACTGAGCTACTTATCATATCCTAGATTTTTGCTCAAATATCAGCAAATCTTTTCACATATGTCCAAGATTTCCTAGATATACAATTGCTGGAACTACTCCAAGTAACTGAGGTTTTTCCCTGAGTAAAGCCATATCACTGATAATATCAAATATTAAGGATACCAAAAAAGTGGAAATGCTGCTGATTCCTCAGATTTACATCCCACCATTGATGATAATTGCAGACCTCTACAATTTCAAGTCTTCATTTGCCTGAAAAATCCGGGACAACTAGGAACATTTACATCCACACAGATACAATCTGGTTGTCCTTAATTATTTTTGTCTTCACTCATCTCTTTCTACAAACCAGCTGCCACATCTCCCATACCTGTAATCCACTTGGTTTGATCCAGACAACATTGGCTTGTGAATTGTAGCTTCTCCTCTGACTTGGCAAAACTGGAAAGGGTGTTGTCTCAGATTCATCATTGTCTGAAGTCTGATACGGATTGGAGTCGAGTTCTGCGGCTGGACCAAGTTTCTGCATATTACCAAGCCATGAGATGTTGTTTTCACCCGGAAAGAATGTTGTGAGAACAAGATTGGATTTCTTTTTGCTGTCTGCCCAAGAATGAAGCATTCCAAACCAGTCAGAGCTAGAAAATAAGCAAGCAATTATAATATTAACTACATGTATACACTACATAAGACCTTCAAGGTGAAAGGTCAGTCTTCTGATAATAAGTGTGTTCTCATATGTACACAGAAAAGATAACAGCATTTCTTTAAAGATCCTATGTTATACCAGGTATAAAAACCGAAAAAAAAAAAAACTACCCAAACAAAGAAAAACATGCAAAATTACAGAATGTCATTTACTGAAGTGCCACAAACATAAACATAGAAAACCTGCATCACCTAGATGTTCAAATCATACTCACTCTAACATAACAATAGCCACCATTTTCTCTACTTTCAAACTTCCGTGTAGAAGTACACAGAAGGAAGGAGTTTTACCGTCCTCATCAGTGTCTCTAACAGTCTCCTTTCCTCCTTCTTTATCCTTGCTATCTGCGGATGATGTTGGAACTGGAATCACAAGATGACGAGATATATGTGGTGGGCTTCCAGCATCTGCAACGTCGAGAAAACCACATATTGACAGTTCATTTGGCATTCTCCTCGTCTTCTCTTGGCCTGTGGTTTTCTTAGATGTCTCAAGTATGCTTGTTAAATCTGGTGCCGGTGACAGTGTTATTTTGGATTGCAAATGGCCACATGACAGAGTTCCCTCGTAGCTTATGTAATGAGTTTGAGCAAGGCGCGTAAAAACATTCTGGACTGACTGGACACTGAGTGGCATGTCAGGCACATAAACACTTCCTCCAGCACCTGCAGAATCACAAAGTCTTTGAAACAGCATCAGATCCCCTCCCAGTTCATTTGCTGTTGCAATGCATACAACATGTATTTTACAAGGAAACGGGATGGGAAATGGGGAAGGTTGGTCAGGATTCTCCTTTCTCTTCCCTTCTAAAAGCTCCTTGAGCGATCCCTGACCAGACCCCGTGCGGCCATCTGTAACAAGGATCACTTGACACGGCACAGAGGTGCCCCACTCCTCAATAACATGGCCGACAACACCACTAAAACCATTGTCAAAACTTGTCTTGTCGTAGACATCTACTGTTATACAACCCTGCTTTAGTGCTTGGTAATCTCTGGTAAACGGTACAACAATCTCCCATAAGGATGAAAAGGCCAACAAAGCTGAGAATTCCAACTTAAACTTGCTAGATAAGTAGTCAAAGAAAACGTGAAGCCCGCGCATAGCAAGATGACGGCGTTCTACAAACTCATCTTCAGGCGTTTGAACGCCCCGTAGCATGGAAAGTGAGACATCAAGAAGTACCACTGTTGGCATTTTGAGATTTGTGCGCGTACAGAACCAGTGAAAGAAGGCAGATGCAGGCACGTCGATGAACGATTCAATCGCTCAGACCGCCGCCATATTGAAAACTGCGAGAGCCTGGTAATAGGCACCAGATTTCACCCCGCCGTCATAGGGCACCACAGGTGTGGGTACACATTTGCCATACCAATAGATTTATTTTTTAATTCAGGAATTTTGTCTCAATATATGAAGTCTATACGCTATAAAGAGAGACAACTGTTCGCCTTAAACCGGGTCAGGGTTCAGGTCTCAGCGGCATAACTCTAGCCAAACTACTCCACCCAGTCCTTCAAGGGATGATTCTGCTACCTCGGGAATACATTCTTAGCCATATCCCAGTACTAAAGAAGTTTCGTATCCACCGTTCTTTTTTAACAATTGGCACTTCTTTTAACTTCTTACCTTGGCTCGATTTGCACCGCTCTCCTGGGTTCGGTTTCCATCCCTCCTTTCCCAAACAACCAAACAGCCGTTATTCGGTATATTTCTCGGACGAAGGTCTAACGCTCGAAACGTCAGCTTCAGAAACTCTTTACAGAGACTCCTACATTTTGGCAAATTTACATTATCAACTCGCTTGATTAAGCCAAATTATCTAATTTTTTTATCAGCTGGCATAGCCGACTCTTTTTTTTCCGGGCGCTCGATGAAAACAAAGGAGGAACTTAAAGCAGCGGAAGTTCGGTTCGGTTTTTCTCAAAATTTTATGATCCAAACTTCTTGCGGCTTAGCCGCTCCTTTTTACGGTTTCGTTGCAGTTTCGTTCGTTCTCTCCTCCAGAAAGTTACTGCACAAATTTCGTTGTCAATTTCTTCTTGTCGATTTCTCATACTAGAATTAGAACACCTCGACCTCAGACGTTAGCAAGTACTTCAATTTCATTTTCTCGTAATGATTATTTTAAAAAAAGTAATGTGATCAATTAGTAATTGATAAATAGAAATTCTGACAATTTAGTATGTAATTTATTTTAAATTAACTTAAATATAATAGGTTAAACAAGATAATTTTATTAATTATTTAATGTGCGATATATCGGTACCTCGTGTCAGGAATTTTTAAAATATCAGTTCGGTGCGTGAGCAGCAAAGAATGACGTTGGATAAGGAGCATTGTTGGAATGTTGAATGATCGCTATTTCCTGAATAAATATCAACCTGTCTGAACATTTTGAATTTTTTCGCTCGAAGTAGTCTTTATAAAATTTTCCATTGTTAAATAGTTGCTGCTGCATTATCAGAAGTTCTTACTGATGGTATTAATGATAAATATCAAGGATAGTAAACCATTTGAGACGTGCTTTGAACAAACTCTCCTCCCACCAGGAACGAAATGACGTCATAGTCTCTAGGGACAGGTGCTTTTGTGATGTCAGTAATTTAGCAACGCAAAGGACCTGGAACCGAATCTAAATTTGACCTAGTCGTTGGAATATACACGAATATGGAAGGAACCTACGATTGATCTAAATTCATCCCGATTTCACCTTTTGTTTAAATTTCTACCATTGTCTTTAGCTTGAAAGGGTTTCAGATGAACGGGCTTTCGTTTTCGGAGATTTGTTGTCTGTTTTGCTGTCCGCCTTGCCCGGGAAAAATCGCTGCGAAGTTAGCCTTTCTTCCTCCGGAGCCGACATATTCGCTTCAAGATTTGGGCGATGGAACTTTCGGGCTTCATCTCACAGAGAAAGCCGAGTGGCAGTACGGCCAGAAGGAGCTAGACTGCATCGAGGTTTTCACAGCGAAAACAAGCAAAGGGAATCAGATTGGTTGCATGTACGTGAGATGCTCTCCGAACGCTCGCTTCACCGTACTCTTTAGCCACGGCAACGCCGTAGACCTCGGACAAATGTCAAGCTTTTTACGTTGGTCTCGGATCGAGGATTAACTGTAATATATTTTCATACGATTATTCTGGTTACGGTGTTAGTCAAGGAAAGCCTTCAGAAAAGAATCTTTACGCCGATATCGATGCCGCTTGGCAAGCATTGCGAACGAGGTACGGAATCAGCCCAGAGAACATAATTGTGTATGGCCAAAGTATAGGCACTGTACCTACGGTAGATTTGGCTTCGAGATTTGAATGTGCAGGAATCATTCTTCATTCACCGCTTACTTCTGGAATGAGAGTAGCTTTTCCCGAGACGAAGAGGACGTGGTGTTTTGACGCATTTCCTAGGTAAGAAGTTTACAAAACTCTGATTATAGAATTAGTCTATCTCAAATCGCGACTAGTTGAGTGTTGTGATCAGAAAATCGTTTATTTTCGCCCAACATTTACTCGAAAGACAAATTTGTTATCGAATTGAATGACATTTGACGCTTTCTGTTCTTCTAAGGCTCTTTCGAATGAAGCTCTACTTTTTTCTTATTTCGTGTCCTTATTCAGGTGAGACATTTCAATTCATGCAATGTTATTGAAAAGTCTCAATCGAAGTGCTTCCAATCCACCGCGGATTAGTATTTAGTTGGGCAGTGCCGAAAAATCAAGGAATTTATGCTTGTAGTTCGTCCTCTGTGCCAAAGAAAATAATCTGTGTAGTTGAAATTATTTATTTTGTTGAAATTGTAGCCAACACCCGTCGTTTACTTTTTTAAAAAAACACATTAGTTACATTGTCATTTACAAAAGAAAATAGAAATAAATCAACACTTGGATAGTTGTAAAGACCTGTTTCTCTGAAGGGCAACTGAAAATTGTGGTGATTGAAGTGAAATTGAACTTCAATGGGAAGGAAAAGCAACACCTTAGAAAGATTACGATAATATATTGGTTGCTTCGTTTCAATTTCGCAATTTTTTTCAAAACTTGAAACAGGTTCTGTTACATTAGTAATAACTGATATAGCTGTTGTATCAGTGAAATTTTGATTTTATTAAAGAGAAGGTCAAGGGCGCAGTGAGCATTAATACATGTTGAATAATTTGATTTAAAAATAAACACTTTTTGAAACACTAACTCCTATTGCCAAGGTAATACATTTTAATACAGCTTTAAGAAAATTCAGGCTTTCAATCAAGAATTGGAAATTGCTTTGCATACTGTTCATACAAAATTATATTTCTCAAATTATAGTTTGAGAAGGCCACAGCCTGTTAGATTATATTTAGTGAATAAAATATTAGTAAGTGAAGCACCCAGCATATAATTTTTTACAGCCACTCATCTAAGTATGAACCCTGTGAAATGGAGGTTGAATTTCATGGATGGTTGGATGAGAAAAGAAAAAAAAACTTAGGCCTACTTTGATGTTTAACTTATCTACGTGTTACAATTTGAGGTACCTCATGTAAAAATTCAGTTTTACAATTTGTTTTATCTTTTGGCCAGCAGATCAAGGAGAAATATTAATTGTTTGAAAATAGTTTCAAGGTATTAATTTTAACTCACAGAGAAACTGATTAAGCAGCATGTTAGTGTAAACATTATCCATGCTCAATGTGCTATGGAATTAAACAGTTCCTCTTCAAAATTTTTAACTGTTGACTGTTAAAAAAAGCAATTTAAAAGAAAGCAAACAATTTGACAAGAAATTAGCTGTCTTGTTATTGCTGGCAAATTTTAACAGTCATTGTAATCTCAATACTTTTGTTTTCATAAAGCTGTAGTAAGTCTTGTTTCATCTTTTGGTAAATAGTAACATCAATAGAATTTCAAATATTAAATCTACTCTTTGCGAGCCCAAATTTATATTTTCCAGATATCTTATCTGTTATTGGTTTAAAAAGAGGTTTTGGTAATGTTTTACTTTGAGAGTGAGCTTTCCTTGACACCAAAACTTAACATATATTATCTTTGTCACAAGACATAATAATGTAGCTTTTATTTTTATTTGAATACTATTTTCTTGGAATAAAACTGTATGCCATTTGATTTGCTTTGTTTTTTACCTTAAAGGGCTACACCATATCTTTGCCATTTGATGTACTGGTTACATGCAAACAAACATGTATATACAGTGGTCATTTCTTTTTCAGTCACACATCCAATATTTCTTTAATATTGTTATTGCTGATTAATTTTATTGCTATTTTGTTGCATGGCAATATCAGTATTCAGAGCAAACAATGTACAATATTATTACATCATATGCAATCATGTGAATGTGAGACACATGTTTTTTTTCTTATAGCACAAATATCTAAAAGAACAATTTTGTTTCGTTACAATAGTTAGTTGGGATAAAAATGTATACAATCTTTTTTGTTATTGAAGCATAGCTTGGGGAAAATGTGCTTAGTAGCTTCTTTGTTTTGCTTTAAGATAAAGATTTTGGCCACATTTTGTTAATTACAAAGTTTGCATACCAGCCCTTGTTGTTTTTGTTTATTGTTTTCCTCTTGGAAAGAGTGGCTCTGTGGAGTGTCTTACTTTTTTGTATGTTCCCAGCATTAACAAATATTTGAAATGGTGCTTTTGTAGTGTTTGAATGTGGACTCAAGTGAACTTGTCATTAATAAGGTTTTATTTTCCTTTTGCAGTATTGAAAAGGTCTCCAAAATTGTTTCACCAGTGTTGGTCATTCATGGAACAGAGGATGAAGTTATAGATTTCTCACATGGCTTAGCTATCTATGAGCGATGTCCGCGGACAGTGGAGCCACTTTGGGTAGAAGGTGCCGGTCACAATGATGTGGAATTGTATGGTCAATATCTGGAGAGGTTGAAACAATTTATACAACATGAGCTGGTGACAAACTGATGTATTGAAAGACAACATTTTTCAAGCACTGTGCAGTGTAGTTGTTATTAGAATACTGTTAGTATTACCAAGTTGTTTAGCTTTTTAATTTGCATCATTGAATGTGTGTGATCAGGGACATTCTTTGTAAACTGAGTGTTAGCAAAGACCTTTAAGCCCTGATACAATTTAATGTAGTAATTCTGTGATATACATGTGCATGCATGTCTTCAAGAATTGTTGAATGGTGAAATGCATTTTTTGTAATATTATTTCTCATGATTTGTGAGGAAAACTCATAATACATTTATTATATGGGCTTCAA